AAGACCCCCCCCCCCCTCGAGAGCATAGCTGCAAATGACTCCAGTAAACAGCTAGACGAGGGGGGCTTAATTAACTATTTAGCTCAATATTAACTTCTCTAGAGATATTAAATGCTAAGATCATGGATTTATGTTGTATTATTGAAGAATGGATTGGGACGGGGATTGAGACGTTCGTATATGAATTATTGATTGAAAAGCGTGTAGAAAATAAAATAAAATAAAAAGTTGGTTGGAACCCTTTATTCCTCCCAATAAAATAACAAAGGGAGTATCAATTTCGTCCTTCATGGCTGAATTTTCATCTCCAAGACTCTGAAGTGCCCCAAGCTACAAGTGTTGAACGAGTAAAGATCTTCCTCGAGGTCAAAACATGGCAAACATGATTTTCCCTGGGGAAATTTCATAGAAATTCTCAACTTGGAAAAGGAAATTGAATTGACATTTTTGTTTTCTTTTGAAGAGATTGACATGGACATTGACTCTCATCTCCACCCATCACAAGCCTACCAGAAAATTCAGCTCAAAAATGGGTTGAAAATTGAGATTACTACTCATGACTTCTACACATTCTCTGATTCTTGTCAAAATGCATGGCTTCAATCCTCTCTTTTACCTCTGACTTCTTAGGATTGGGATTACAAGAAATGAACTTTTCCTTTTCCTTTTCTTTTTAGCTTTGCGCGGGTGCTTCTCGGTACTGTGATACCAGGTCTATCCTTTTGTTTTTTGTTCTACATTTCCTTGCCAGTGACTGTAAATCCGGGGTTTTCATAAGAAATGATAGAACTACAGGGAAAAATCACAGGAAGTGAATTCTTGCAGGAGATCCTCCTCCTTCCTCTCTGAATCATGTTGTATAGCCCACCTTATAGCACCAGCTATGCATATCAGGTGCTGTAATCGCAGCAAAATACTAGAATTAATTGAAAGCCGTTCTTGTTGCCAATAAAAAATCCATCAGAGCAGGGCAGCTTGTCCTTGCTTTTTCAAAATCTACCCTCAGCTATATTTGACCATCGCAGCTTTGATTCCACCTCCCTGCTTGATTTAATCACACACCTGGAATCTATGTGAAGACAGCCAGCCAACACTCCCATGGGCCATGGCAATTTCATTACTGTGTCCGTACGAAGAACTAAATTTTACTTTGCTGTGTGTTCCTTGATGCGTGATGGAAGTGTTTTTTAATGGAAAATATATTTATTTAATGTTTTTTTAAATGATTCTTCCTTTATAGGACCGTGATCTCTTTACTTTGGAATTTGGATGTGTTTTCAGTTTAGATCCACTCTAAGAATCCTTTCTAACACAGCCAATTACATCGTCAAATGCGTACTCCTTTAAACACACGAACTTCCCTGCATTGATTGTGCCCGGAAACCACCATCAACAAATTAATACGTCATCAAGCGACAATCATACCAGCTTAGAACAGAAACGTGGTCTCAGAAATAACATGGATAGTTGAATGTCCATGATTGACCGTGCTGAACACGCATATACAGGCCGGCGTTAAAAATATATATTTTTATATTAAATATTATAGTAAATTAAAAGTGTTGTTAAATTAATATTCATTAATTTTTTTAATAAAATAATATAATTTTATCTTGTTATACTCTGAACACACACACGATAGTTAATAAATAATGTAGCTTTACTCTCAATTCTTTAGTTTAACTAGTATACTTAATAAATATTATTATTTCTAAATATTGTAGCTTTACTGTCAATTCTTTAGTTTAACCAGTTGATTTAGTTATATAAATCAATTGATTATTTTTTTAAAATTTAATTGATATTACAATTTAAAAACATGATATTTAATAAAATATCACAACTTAAAACCATAATATTTAATTAAATATTACAATCTAAAACAGCAAAATAAACATGGTTCAATTTTACGAAAACCTTTTACTACTATATTATTTCAAAATTTCTTCATATTTTGTTTACCTCAATACTCAAAAGTGGACATTAGCTCGCTGACAAAGCAGGAACACAACACCCAAACCTGCCTGAAATTGATTGCCAGGCAATGCTCTGACTTTGAAGGGTGCAAGTGGCGGTATTGAACGACACAGTTAGGTCAGAAATGACTCGTGCAGAGAAGGTTAGCTTAGGGACTCAAATAGTTGAAAATCATTTGCAACCTCAACCAATCAGTGAAGCCTGCAAGTTCTCAATAACAATGAAATCCAAGTTTCAAGCAAATCTTCGGGCACCTTGACAGGTCCACCATTATAGCAAAACCATCATTTTCATTCATTCAGCTCACATGTGATCATCCCACATAATCACTGTTCTCTTTTACGTCTACGTGCATAGAATTATGTGCATTAGGGTAAACATATCACAGTAGAAAATGTACTATACACAGCCTGGCACAGATCCTGATGCACGTCTTAGCCTACTGTCTATGTTCCCAAGTGCCTATATAGGGTCGGGCGGGCCATATGAATATCTCCATTCTCCACAAGCTATGCACCTGTCCAATTCCACACTGTTCTCTAAGGTACAGAACTTACAAGACCAGGACTTGAAATTGGCAACATCTTTATGTCTTTGGGTCCCACAGGCTTCACATACCAGCGCCATTGGCTGCGATAACATCAACCCTTCAGAGTTCAGATAGCAATTCAAATGGGCAAACAT